TTTAAAAAAAGAATCTTTAAATTACGAATTTGGATTTATATTTCTTATTATATTTAGAAACTTTATCTTTTATTCTATTAAATTTCTAAGAATTATTAAAAACTCGTTTTTCGAATTCTTTATCTTTTATTAAAGTATAAGTATTAGATTCTTAAAAAGTACTAAAATCTTATTTCTTACTAATTTCGCTAAAAGAATTCTTAGAAAAAGACTTAATAAATACTTAAGAACTTATTTTATAAATTAATAACTTAATCTTTTATATTAATAAAGTCTTCGAATATTAATATCTATATATATCTTTAAATCTAGTTAAAAAATCTTAATTAGTATTTATAATTTTAATTATCTAGATTTTTAGCAATATTATAAAAAAAATTTATTCTTTTAATATATTTATAATCTCGTTAGAGAATTCTATAACTTTATTTATTATTACTTAAAGTATCTAATCTTATAAACTCGCTAATATACTTTATATAATAATTTTTAATCTATTTTATTACGTCTAATATTATTCTATACTCTTATATTAAATTTTATTTTAATATTATTAATATCGCGAAACTCTTTAAACGCTATTATATTAATAATTTATAAATATATAAAAGAAATTTAATTAATATTTAGTAAGTTTATTTAAATAGTAATTAAATAAATAAAAGCTTTATTTAAGTATTTTAATATTATTTATTAGAATATTTCTAGAATTCTAATTTTAAATTCTAATTCGAAATTCTTATTAGAATTATAAGCGATTCTTTTTAAAATACTTAATATAGATTTATTTTATTTTATTAGAATTAGTATAGATGCGATATTAATATAAGTAAGATAGATAGAATAATAAGACTATCGAATTATATATATAGAAAGAAGATATAATATAGTAGAAGATATCTTCGTTAAGGTATTAGATTATAGACTAAGTAATATATTAAGACTACGCTCGTAATAGTACTCTCCTCTCTTAAATAGCCATAGTCTCTATAACTAGTAGATTGAAGATATACGTTATCTATAGTCTCTATAGATCTTAATTTAAGAGAATTTATTAAGATATAATAATTCGAAAATATCGAATAGTTTTAATTCGTTTAAAAATATTATATTCGAGATTTTATCGAATCGTATACTAGTTTTAACTCTGCTATTTATTTCTACTATAGAGATTCTAGAGATATTGCTATATCTTACCTACGTATTAGCAAATTTCTTCGAGTTCTTCTCCTTACCTAGTCTACTTACTATAGTTCTTTATTTTTCTATCTTTAATATCTACTAATAACCTAGCCTAGAAGCTTTACTATAGATTTATCTTATATTTTTCATACTCTTATTATTAAAAATCCATTATTCGTTCTATCTTCTTTATCTTAACTTATAGTCATCTTACTTCGTAGTATTATCTATTATATTTATTCGTCTTTTAATAGTTAATAATCTAATTAATATAGACTACTTTCGTAAACTTAAGTAATTATCGATTTATAGAATTTAATAGAGAGATAGAGAAAGAATTAAATATATTAAATATTGTTTAATAGTAAGCTTACTATGTATATCATCGATATATTTAATAAGAAGATCGATATATATCGTTTCGAAGCTATTTTCGTCGCTATTATAGTAGGCTTACTATAATAAAGTAGTATTATCTATTAATTTCTTTCTAATTCGCTTATAGTACGAATAATCTAATACTTATTTATTTCTTATTACTATTATAAGACTATTTCGCTATTTCGTTAGACTCTTTAAAATCGAGTTACTCGTATAGTAAGTTTATTTAGAAATACGATATTTTAAGTTTATATCTTAATATCTTAAGCTCGATATCTTAACATCTTAATTTAATATCTTAATAAAGCTTCTATTAGCGCGTTTCTTTTTATATTTATTCGCTAATCTAAATAGAAGAGAATAAGTCTTTAATAGCTATTTAATTACTCTATTATTCTCGAGTATATAATTAAGAATCTAGTTATATCTTATTTATTTAAGTTTCTCTTCGTTAAGTAGAAATACGAAGAAGCTTTATTATAATATTAAAACTAGTATAGATATAATACTAGTATAAGTAAGATAGATAGAATAGTAAGACTATCGAATTATATATATAAAAAGAAGATATAATATAGTAGAAGATATCTTCGTTAAGATACTAGACTATAGAACTAAGTAATATATTAAGAATACGCTTATAATATATTTAATAATTTATTATTTTTAGATTAATAGTATTAATAAATATATAAATTAAATAATTAAAATAGTTTTAAGATACTTTATTTACTCGCTTAATAATTTATTAATATAACTTAAAATTCTTTATCGTATTTAAATAATTTTAAAAAATTTAATAAGTATTAAAATTATTTCTTATAAAGTAATTTTCGAGATATTATTCTAAAAGATATAGAATATTTCTAATTTCACTCGATATTTTATATGTAAATTATCGTATTTTAAAATCGACTCGTATAAAATAAACTAGCCTCGTTAAAGAGCTTTAAGAATTATAAGATTTTATAAATAGATTATAAAGATATAAATTTTTAAAGAAAAGAAGTAAAAGTTAAAAAATTTCAAGTCTAAGAAATTTCATATTTTTTCGACCACTATTTAAAAATCTTAGATTTCGAGAACGAGATTTTTAGTTTTTTACTTATATTCTAAGATCTTACTCTAAGAAAAGTTTAATTATATCTCTATAAAGAAGTAGAAGAATAGTTAAAGTATTTAATTAAGATTTCGCTATTCGAATTAAAATCTTCTTTAAATATAAGATTTTAGATTTTTTTTTAAATATAAAATTTCTTTAAAAATAAGTATTTTTCGAATTTATTTTAGCGAGATTACTATACTTTCTTTTTATCTATAAGAATACTATTATAAAAATATAAGTAGTTTTAATAAGATACTTACTTTACTAAGTAAATAAGTCTATTAAGTAAATATCTCGCTAAGCTTACTATTATAAATAGTAGATTTCTAAATAGAAATAATTAAGCTTATTATATACTACGATTATAGATTCTTATTATTATTATATTAAACTCTAATAGATAATAGAGTTAAATAATATATTAAGAAAGATATAGAATACGCTCGTAATAATCTATAAAGTCTCTTTTCTAAAAAAGCTTCTATTAAAAGATTTCTTAAATTCGTCTATTAACTTAAATATAATAAGTAAATTAACTTAATTATAATTTAGAATTAATATAGATATATTAAATAAGATATTTAGATATTAAATAACTATATAGAAAGAAAATATAAAATAATAATAAATATCTCTATTAAGATATAGTAAACTTAAATAGATAATAGAGTTAAATAATATATTAAAAAAGATATAGAATACGCTCGTAATAATAAAGTCTTAATAGAATTAAAAGATTACTATTATTATATTATTTTATTATATAAATTTGATGAAAGATAGACATTTTAGTATTACGTCGGATTTATCGGATTTTAGAGCGTGCAATTGAGGAAAATAGGGGTGGAAACGAGTAATCTCCATGTCAATACACGCCCGCACCACCCTGTGCGGCAAGACAACAGTCGACCTATCCAAGTTGCATTCAGCCATAAATTGCCCACAAAAAGCATCAATGTCGGGAGACCTGAAGGCATCAGATGCCAAAGTCATATCCACTGAACCATTGGTATCTTCAACCACAATCGTCCCGTGCCCCAGCTAATGAGAGCAGATGATCAAAGATGCCCGCTGGACAAAGCTCGTCTTGTACACTACGTATAAAAAATTCCACAACAAATGCTTTCTTACTATGGTTTTAGGACAACATATACCGATCCTTTGGGTAAACGGCGAACCTGGGAGTCTGCCGAACGCTCTACACGGCCTAAAAACTCTCCGATTGATGGAGTTGGCATTGTAGCTATCCTACAAAAGCCATCAGGCCTTGAACTCCTATTGCAAAAGCAGTTTCGTCCTCCTATCAATAAAGTGGTTATTGAAGTGCCCGCAGGCCTCGTCGATGAAGGAGAAACTGCAGAGGAGAGTGCGGTTCGGGAGTTGAGGGAGGAGACCGGGTATGTTGGAATCGCGGCGGAGGTCTCACCCGTTATGTTCAACGGTGAGTCTTAACCAGGTTTTCCCGACTTTGTAGAGGGGAAGATGTCTCAACCACAACTCGTTTTTAGACCCTGGGTTTTGCAATACGAACTTGAATATGGTCCATGTCAATGTCGATATGTCGCTACAAGAAAACCAAAATCTTAAGCCCGAGCTGGAAGAGAACGAGTTCATCGAAGTCTTCTCGACCCCACTGAAGACGTTATATGCCGAATGCAAACGTCTAGAGGCAGAGGGTTACGCCATAGATGCAAGGGTGGGAACGCTTGCTGAAGGTATTGAGGTTGCGAGGAGATGGAAGCTACAGTGATTATGACCTTTTGGTAAGATAACACGAGACCACAAATGTCGGCCGTGCCGGGTATCAGAATGGTGAGGTGGTGGACCATACGCCTAGCAAAAGCATAGAAAGTGCCCTTCGTGGCGAGACAAATTTGTGATGAAGCTTTACACATGCACTTACCTTCAGATCCTCCAGAGATGCCATTGTTGACGGGGCATGCCTCTTGCTGTTTCGAACTAGGTATGCACCGTAACGCTCCAAGCGCAGAACAAGATTTTCAGAATCTTTGTAGCTCGAAAACGCTCTCCTCGCTCATGTACTGTATGTACTTTTACAATCCCATTGTTAGTGAGATTCTCAGTGTACGACGCATCGCGCGTGAATTATTTTCAAAATTCCCGCCGTATTGGAAGCCAATAAGTTGTGGGTTCCCAAAGTCTTGGCGATCATTATCTTGGCGATCTAAGATCAAACTCTTGGCAATCAAATTCTTGGACAGAGACATCGCGAATCTTTACCATCTCTTCCTCGGTTTTCAACAGCAATGCATCTTTGCTACACTCCTAGTCATTCAATTCTCCCTGTGTGATCTCCCACCACCTCCAAGTCATGTCTCATATACATGATACCCCCCCGCCATCCTCCCCAAGTCTGCCTACCTCGATTTCCTCTCCACCCTCACCTACAATCATCAAACCAACAGAGCTGTCACCAAAAACCCTCCGTCGAATGCTCCACCACGAATCGGATGTCTTGATCGTCGGAGCTGGCATCCTCGGCACTGCCCTTGCCATCACGCTTGCCCGTCCCCCACACTCTCGCTCCGTGACCCTCCTCGAAAAATCTCTTAAAGAGCCCGATCGGATTGTCGGCGAACTTTTGCAACCTGGTGGTGTCTCTGCGTTGAAAGATCTAGGTCTAGAGGAGTGTTTAGAGGGGATTGATAGTGTGAGGGTCAAGGGGTATGAGGTCATATATTACGGGCAAGGGGTCGAGATTGGGTATCCGGGCAATACTGTTGGGCAGAGGTCAGAGGGTGATGTGGCGGGAGGAAAGAACCTGAGACGGGAGGGAAGGAGTTTTCACCACGGCAGATTTATACGAAGATTAAGGGAATTGGCCACGAAAGAACAGAACGTATCGGTTGTGGAGAGCACAGTCACGGAGGTAGTCAAATGCGAGCACACAGGTCACATCCTGGGCGTGCAATGCCTGAACAGCTGCGGGAAAAACGTCTATTTCGGCCAATTGACTGTTCTAGCGGACGGGTATGCTAGCAAATTTCGGAAGCAGTATATCTCTCGGTCCGTCGTTAGCAAAAGTCGATTTTGGGGCTTGGAACTTATCGATGCTGTCTTGCCGAAACCACTGCATGGGCATGTGATCCTCGGAGACGGCGCGCCAGTGCTGCTGTACCAAATCGGATCAAGAGAAACAAGGGCTCTGGTTGATGTGCCCGAGGGTTTGGATACTGCCAGTACGAAGAACGGTGGCGTAAAGAGACATCTGAGAGAGGTGGTCTTGCCAAGCTTGCCAAAGTGCGTGAAGCCCTCGTTCGAGAGAGCACTGGACGAGGGCAAGCTGAGAAGTATGCCAAATTCGTTCCTGCCCCCGAGCGTCAACCGGTTTCCTGGTATGGTGATGCTAGGAGACGCTATGAACATGAGACATCCCCTGACTGGCGGCGGGATGACTGTCGCATTCAATGATGTGGTGCTGTTGAAGGAGTTATTGAGCCCAGAAGTGGTGCCGGATTTGGGGAACACTAAGCTTGTGTTAAAGCAGATGGAAAAGTTTCACTGGAGGAGAAAGGGTTTGACGAGTGTTATCAACATACTCGCACAGGCACTGTACTCTCTCTTTGCTGCAAATGGTATGTATGCGAGGCCTCGATGTTGATCAGCACTGATGTTAGTCTAGATCCTCAACTCAAGGCTCTGCAGCTGGGCTGTTTCCGTTACTTTCAATGCGGCGGCCAATGCGTCGATGGTCCAGTCGGACTGCTTGCCGGTATTATTCGCCGGCCACTTCTGTTGTTCTACCACTTCTTCTCTGTCGCACTGCTCTCGATATGGCTAGTCCTCTCGGAATCGCCTTTGTACACAATGCCTCTGACTCTAATATCGAGTGTCAGCATACTCTATAAGGCTTGTGTGGTGCTGTCTCCATTCGTTCTTTCGGAGCTCAAAAACTAGCACGAAAACGCATAAAGGACACTGATTCGAAACTTCTCTAGTCGCTGGCCTGATGATGTACATACTGCATCCTACATCTGATAGTGGTACAGCGATAGCATTGTATACTATATTGAGCTTTCTTGCTTTACTCAGCACAAACAGAAACTGGTTGACGACCTACAGGATCGTTGTAGTCTGCTCTATTCCCTGCCAGGTTTTACTTCGGCATTCGAGGTCGAAAAATATCTTTCACGATGGTTCACATCCTGCAGGGGCCGAAGCCGAAACCCCTAAGAAAATGACCCTAGTGCGTGTCAACGAGAACCCCCGACAGATGGGCCCTTTTGGATAACCCGGCCAATTGAATTGGCTCTTGATGTGTTATGACTGGCATTCTCGTGATTGAGCGACACGTTGGAACCTCTTTCCAACTTCGTTGCACACGTCGAGAGATGAAAACTCTACCTAGCTTGACGAAGTGGTTTCTGTTGAATGCCAGCCCCCTTCTATGTTGAAATTCGGGTCCGTGACTCTTGGCACCAAGGCGCGCCTATATCAAGTCGCTCTTTCCTTTTATAGAACTTTATAATTAATATAACTAAAGATCTTAGTTTATATTTCTATAGATTATAAATCTAAGCTTTATTTAATAACTACTATATTATAACTATTATTTATATCTATAGTTATTATTATAATCGATATAGATATAATATTAATATAGATATATTAAATAAGATAATTAGATATCGAATAACTATATAGATAGAAGATATTAGATAATAGTAGATATTTCTACTAAGATACGCTAGACTCTAATAGATATAGGGCTAAATAATATATTAAGAGAGATATAGAATACGCTTATAATATTATTCTCTCTCTCTTATAGATTTATACTCTTATAATTAGTTAGTAAAAGAGTAATAGAAATAGTATATATATACGCTCGCTTAAAAATTTATAAAATAATAAAGAACTTTTAATATTTAAAACTTTTAATATTATATATAATATTTCTCGATAATAATATAAATAGCGAGAGCTTCTATTTTAGTCTCTAAATTAATATTATTATTAATCTAAGATATAACGAGTATAAAGATTTTAATTTGAAAGAAATTAGTAAGATAATAAATAAATAATAATTATAAATACTTTAATAAGTAATAATAATTTTTAAGTCGATATTTTAATATAAAGAATATTAATAATTTAATTTAATTTAATTAATTAAGAGATTTTAAACTAAATTAAATTATAAGCGTTAAACTTTAATTTAATATTAAATTACAAGTAAAGGCCCATGAATTAAATTTATGGAGTTGGATTTTTCTAAGTTAAATCGAATTTTAGCCCTAGCTCTAAGTTAAATCGAACTCTAATCGCTTACTGTGCGTTTTTAACCTATATATAAACATATATATATAAAGAGAGGCGCGCTAAGGTCTAATTAGGAAGGTATATCGAGTATAAAGAATTAATCTATAATAATTATCTATAAAAAATAGAGAAAGGTTATATTCTTATGATAAGAAGTATCGAAATATTAGAAAGAAATGGAGACAACATATTAATTAGTAATGTGAATCCCATATTATCTTCTGCCGTAGTAAAATCTTTCGAATAATAAAATAGCTGTAGATATCGAATAATTTCAATTCGTCTAAATATATATCGTCTGATGTTTCTTCTATAGAGGCCCAATTAATAGTAATAGTAGATCCTTCTTTTATAACGTTATTATAGTAATATATTATATTAATATAGTAGAAATAACAGGCCAAGTTATAGTAATATTCTTCACTTACTGAGTGATGATTTGATGTAGAATCGTGGAGAGCATATAACGTAAGATCTTGGAGAGCTGAGTCGTATTCTTGACGATGGTGGCCTTGTTGCCGCTTAGTTTCTCTATAGTATTCTCCGCATTTGCCTATTATAGTTTCTTCTCTTACTCCTCAATGTAGTAGGAATAATAAGCTAAGTTATAGTGGTATTCTCCGCTTGTTAAGTGATATTTTAATATAAAATAACTAAGTTATAGTGGTGTTCTCCGCTTGCTAAGTGATAATTTGATATAAAACCGTGAAAAGTATATAATGTGGGATCTTGGAGAGCTGAGCCTGTTCTTGATGCTGGGGGCCTTATTATCGCTTAATTTCTCCGTAGTGTTCTCCGCATTTACCTATTATAGTTTCTTCTCTTACTTCTTCTCTTATAAAGTATTAAATTAAGTAGCTAGCTAAGTAGCTAACTAAGTGGATAACTGATATAATGTGGGATCTTGGAGAGCTAAGCCGTGTTCTTAACGATGATAGTCTTATTACCGCTTAGTTTCTCCGTAGTATTCTCCGCATTTGCCTATTATAGTTTCTTCTCTTACTTCTTAATATAGTAAGGATAATAGACTAAGTTATAATGATATTCTTCGCTTATTAAGTAATAATTTAATATAGAATCGTAGAGAGTATATAACGTGGGATCTTGAAGAGCTAAGTCTATTCTTAGTACTGAGAGCCTTATTATCACTTAGTTTCTTCGTAATATTCTCCGTATTCGCCTACTATAATAACTTCTCTTATATTAACTAAGTGAATTAATATAAGACTATAGAGAGTAGGTCTATTATATTACTACTACTAATAACTATCTTCATAATATTCTCTATAGTATTCTCCGCATTCGCCTATTATAGATCCTTCTCTTATTTAACTAAGTGCGAGGGTATCGAGAGTAAATATATTTATATTAATAAAATTAGTAGAACTAATAGAATTAATAGAATTAGTAGAATAGTAAAAGAAGAATAATTATATAAATAGGTGAAAGGATTATTATTTAATCTCGGACGCGTTTAATATAACTACAATATTTGAATATTAGTTTAATTCATCTATCGCTAACTTAGAAGAAGTATATAGGCTTAAAAGAAGTATATAGAGGAGGACGTATTCGTTCGAACTCTTTTTAAAGGTTTTTTAATATATTTATAAATAGTAGTAAATAGCTATTAAGCTCGCTTGCGGCCTTAATTATTAGTAATAGCGAATTCGCCGAGAAATAGTCTAAGGGCGTTAATAAGGGGCTCTAATTAGGCGAGGGGTACCGAAGACGATTATATTCATATTAATAAAATTAGTAGAATTGATAGAATTAGTAGAATAATAAAAGAATAACAAATAGATAGAAGGATTATTATTCGATCTCGAACGCGTCTAATATAACTATCATAACTATTATATTTAAATATTTATTTAATTCACTAATAGTAGGTTAAACTTTATAATTTTTATAGCGTTAGAAAGCGTAAAGCGAGCTTTACAATTTAAGGAATTATAAAGTAACTATATATATCGTAAGCTGAGTACTTCAAAGTATAAAACTTCTATATATAAATTTTTGATAAGGGAGGCGCGGGAGGGTTATCGGGCTAATTTAGCCGGTCTAATTAAAGAGCGTAGCGAACCTGAATTTATAATTGGCTGCATATACAAATTCAAGGTTTCCAAGCTCAGCCCTATCTTATTCTATTATATATACTGATATTAACGTAAGTCTCTTTATAATAAGTTATTTTATCGATATTAATTATATTTAGCGATAGCGATAAGAGGATCGCGTATAATCTAATATAGCTTTAAAATATATTAAGAGTTATATAAATTAGAGAAATCGATTTAATAAATCTAATATAAGATTATTATAATATAATATAAATCTAAAAAATCGATTTATAAATATAAAAAATAAAGTTATTATAAAATATCGAATAACTTTAATTTATTTAAAAATATAATATTCGAGATATTTAGCGCTAGTAAGCTATTTACGAGTATTATTTATAAAAATTATTAATTATTAATATATATAAAAGAATAAGATAGAGTTAAGCTAGAAAATCTTAAATTTATATATATAATTAATTATTAATTTAGAGTTATTATACTTTTTAGTTAAATCGACTAAATTAACTCGCTAGCCCTTTTAAGCTTTCTTATTAAAAATTTATATATAAAAAATTTATACTTTAAAGTACTTAGTTTATAATATATATAATTACTTTATAATTTCTTAAATTATAAAACTCGCTTTATATTTTCTAACGCTATAAAAATTATAAAGTTTAATTTACTATTAATAGATTAAATAAATATTTAAATATAATAATTATAATAGTTATATTAGACGTATTTAAAATTAAATAATAATTCTTTTATCTATTTATATAATTATTATTCTTTTATTATTTTATTAATTTTATTAATTCTATTAATTCTATTAATTTTATTAATATAAATATAATTATTTTCGATATTTCTTATCTAATTAGAGTCTCTTATTAACGCTCTTAAATTATTTTTTAACGAATTTATTATTATTAATAATTAAGATTATAAGCGAGTTTAATAGCTATTTATTATTATATTAACTATTTATAAACGCGTTAAAAGATTCTTAAAAAGAGCTCGAATAGATATTTTTTTTTTATATATTTCTTTTAAGCTAGTAATAGATAAATTAAATTAATATTTAAATATTATAATTATATTAGATGCGTTTAATTTAAATATATATATTTCTTTTACTCGCTTTTTAAAGCCTCTATTAATATTTTTAGATTATTTTTTAATAAATTTATTATTATTAATAATTAAGATTGTAAGCGAGTTTAATAGCTATTTATTACTACTTATAAACGCGTTAAAAAACTCTTAAAAAGAGCTTAAATAATTTTTTTTTTTTTATATACTTTTTTTAAACTAGCGATATATAGATTAAATTAATATTTAAATATTATAATTATATTAAACGCGTTCGAGATTGAATAATAATCCTTTTATTTATTTATATAATTATTCTTTTTTTATTATTCTATTAATTCTATTAATTTACTCTTAATATTTTTATATTTAATTAAATAAGAGAAGAATCTATAATAGATAAATATAGAGAATATTATAAAGAATATTATAAAAATAGTTATTAATAGTAATAATATAATAAATTTACTCTTT